AAGGGGAGGGCAGAGCCCTGGCTAAGATCCTCTGGTTCCCAGTGTCACAGTGACCCCACAAGGTACCTTCAATGCTCTTCTGCTCGTGACAGCTCAGAGCAAAACCTCTGTAGCATAAGCATGGTAGCACAAAGATCCAACATGTGCTGTCTCAGCCATCACCCCACTTTGTGGTGGGCCTGGCAGCACTTCCTAATGGGCAGCATGTAACACAGCACTGAAATGCATGAGGTAGTTCAGGCAGCGCAGATCAAACAGCAAAGCAGACTAAACTAGCCAAACCCCACACTGCACTGAATCCAGCAGCTCTGCTGGGCTGTATCTCTTCCGTCTGAAACCTCCAAGGAGCACACACCTAAAGCACTACAACTGCTGCAGGGACACTGCTGCCCATACTTCATCTAACAACTTTCAAGTCCATCCTGACAAACACAATGGCTTCAATATGGAGGTTTCCTAGATTCCCTGTTGAGAGAAAATAAGGAACTGTAACAAATAAACAGATTTCCCAACTCACCAGAGTGACTTTTCTAAAGGATCTGTCATCAGTTTACTGCCTGCCTCTATCTGTCTTAAATTGTGTGTGATGACTTTGTTTCGTTTTGCTGACACTTGTGTTTTGTTTAAGGGTCTCTTTGTGCAATCCTTTGTGTCTGCTTTAAATAAGCACTCTTCCTGTGCTTGTAGCAGCATGCTTGAGTTCAGCAAGATGTCTATCACTTAATAACCAAATGAGAAGTTTAATCACCCAAAAGCTAGCTTTCAACCTGCAGTTAACAAACCAGAAAAGCTAAGGGTGTTCCATATGCATTTTTCTCTCCATTTCTTCTGTTATCACATTTGCTTGTCTGAGCAAGTTTGGTGCTGTGTATTTAGCCCTGTAAATATCAGCTCAGCATGTGGAAACATGCAGCATGTACTCTTACTTTGCAGTCAGAATCAGTCCAACAAAGCACAGCAATTACTCATTGCAGTCCCTCAAAATTTTGTTGTTGTTACTAATCACTGAGCACGTATGAAACTGAAAGAATATGCACTAATGACTTGCTGGGCTAGCATATTTGAACAAAACATGACATGGAAACCAAACAGGAAAAATACAAGTCATGCCAAGGTGTCATTTTTACAAAGTGACTTTAAATATATATATATATATAAATAATAATAGAAAATAAAAAAATTAAAAAAAAAAAGAGAGAGACAAGTTAATGTCCCAATATGGGACAATAAAGCTATGTTAGAAACACTTGCCATTAACAGCCATCTGCTCTCTGCAATTTGAGGGTAATTTTTATGTACAGCTGACAGCTTTGCATCATCTTTCCTCTTTCGTGAAGGATTGTCTACGCCTCTACAAAGCCTCTGAGAAGCAGGATCTGTCCATTACCTTGTGGCTCACAATAAGATGATGCACTAATATACATGTAGTGTTCTGCACTGGATTCCCAAACAGAAATCACACACAAGATTTGGAGGGAAAATAAAATATATATATATGCTAATACTATTCCAGTCCTTTCTAATAATATTCTGCTCATGTCAGCACTGCCTGTAAAAATCAAGAGACAAAGTGTGCTCACTGCCCTTGACACATTGTGATGGTAAGAAAAATCAAGACTGCTTTCTCACTGTTCTCTGAGTACAAGGATAGATCTCTGCTTAAGCCTATCTTCTTGATCAGAATGTCTCTGGTGTCCTTATGCCTTTTCCTCCTGTTTGAACTTGTCTCTTCAGAATATTTAGTAAATACAATTCATGTTCACACCTAAAGTAAAGCTACCTTCTTTTGTTTTGTTACATTAGATACACTCACAACAAATGGTGTGGTTGCACTTCTCTCATTTGCAATCCTTGCAAAGAACACTTACACAAGAAAAGTGCAGAGAAAACTAAAATCCTATTAAAATTCAAATTGTACTCTCACTACTGTTTCCATTTCTCAGATCCTATATAATTTTAATATACATTAGGAATGAAGTCCAGAAAGAAAAGTAAAAACAAAAAAACAACGGATTAGCTAAAACTGATTTGTCTACTGCCTTAAAGCACTTCCTTCAATACACAAGAGAGATGTTGGCCAAGCTCCCACAAAATCTAGATCAGCCTTGTGACTGTAGCCCACCAAGCACCCACCCTGTAAACACTAGGCATATTTATGCATTATTTAACATTGGACTATGCAAATCAGTCAGAACCTCTTCCAGTCCCAAAATGTTGACGAAGCTGCACTCAATTTGAGCCTATTTTATGTTTTGAACATCCAAAAGTTAAGGGGTTGTTTTTAGTCTTCAAGCACTGGAACAAAAATGAGGACAATTTTCATAATTATCACTGAGGGTCAAGTTACAAACATCTTCAGCTATCAAAGACACACCTTGAGTATTGGTTCATCTGGAGCCACTTAAAATGCAGCTAAACCAGTGCCTTTTCCTCTCAGACAAAACATATTTGCCAAAGTAATTCTCTTGAATAGGAATTCAGATTTGTTTGTACACACGCTAGATCTATTCTTGAACTGAACTTTCTTTAGCTTGTAGTTATCTGCAAAACGGGATTCATATCACCATGCTGGTTTTGTTTCATGCCCTCAACTTTCCTATGATTAGGTCTGATGCAAACCCAGAGGTATAGCAATGGAAAGACATGCAATTGTGACTTGAACTGGCTCCAGATCAGTGTCAAGAACTAGTATTTTTCTTCTGTGTCATACCTGAGCCTTGGTGCAGATGACCTAAGAGAAAACTTCAGGAGATAATTCTCCACACAAACTGTGAGCCTGGTGTTCATCAGTTGTGAAGTAGACACAGTATTATTGCCTGTCATACCACTGAGAAAATATGAATCTTAACTGCAGCGCATACCTTAGAGTGGAACATTGTTTTAGATAGGTTTTTTGTTTCACTGTTAGAATAGCCATACCTGTGGTACAATCCACTACACATCTCACCTCTGAACCGTACTGCAAATTTTTCTGATTCATAACAACACACTCCATATGGTCCCCTTTATGAGTATTTCACCCTCCTAACTCTACATTCTGCTTATAAGATTCCACCTACCAATATTTAATCATTTCAGGTAAGCTCTTATTTCTTTGCTGATGCAGTAGTCTTTGCTCTGCAGTAGTCAGTTTTACAGGTAAGATTACTGTCACATCGCTGCCTCTCAGCATGACATTCTGCAGCTCCCAAATGCTCCTAACCCACATCCATCATTTGGTCTCCATGCCAGCTTTCCTTTGCTCTTGCCCTGTATGTGGTCACAGGATTCCCAATATCCTTGCATTCACTCTGAAGTCTATCAATGTTTTCCTCGTGTGGCTGAGCACCCCATAAATTACAATTAACAGGATGGAGCACTGTTACTGTGACTGCTCCACTATCCCACGTGGCAGGCACTGATTTATGCCATTCTCTTCTATGTGAGCTGCTCATGGTTTCAACCCTGGTTCTTTTTCTCTGCCAAATCACCAGTATACCATTGTCTCCCCTGGGCTGATTCCGCAGTCAGTGCTCGCTTCATTACCAATGGGCTGAATGCTATTTACCTTTTGGCTCATCTGAATCTCAACTCTGTATTGTCGTGCTTGGGGTTTTCTACCACAGGCACAACAGCACAAATGTCATCATTGGTGTTTTATTTCTGTCTCCTTAATTCTATTTTTTTCAAAATGGCTACTAATCTTCCTTAAGAGCACCTTTATCCATCTCATTTCCCTGTCTGTTTTGTCTTTCCTAAATGTTACACTCTACTTCCTATACTGTTTTGTTTACTTTGAAATATTTTCATTCAAAACAGAAGGAAATTTGTGCTCTGCATGTCTGTAAGCACAGAATAAATAAGAATGCATATGTTTCACATTAGACTGACATGAATATATATTTAGTCATCTATTCTAGCAATCCATACATCTTACTTCCTCAGGCCTCTTATTAACTGTCCACTAGAACTGAAGGACTTACTGCTTAGAGTTCTACTTTTCACTGATGAAAATTACATATTGTGTTTTAGTGTATCATTTAGTTCTTGTCTCCTACTCGTCAGAAACATCAGTAACTATTTCTGACCAGATTTGCAGCACAGAAATTTTCAAATATTTTTGCAAATCCCAAGATGAGGAGCACAGCTGGTACAGGAAAACCATTTAGATTTTGAAAAAAAAAAAAAGGTTATCAACTAAGCAGCAATTCTGTAGACTGAAACAGAAATGAAGTCCATTGAACAGAGACAGACTACCCTCTGCAGTTTCAGGTAACTGACTCATGCTTGGCCCTTTTCTAGATAGAATTATAAGTGTGTGAATGACTGAATTGGGTTAATAAACTAAACTCAACCCACGTCTTCCCCCAGAATTAATCTCAGAGTTTACATATCTATTTTTACTGAGATTTTGTTACTGTTCTCATTGGCTTCTTCCTGTGGGGCCTGCAAACACACTCCAGGAAAGAAGCTTGCCAGGATATAAGAGAAATCTCATGAGAAATTTTGTTGTTGGTTCATTTCCAAGAAAATTCTGCAGACTCAAGACACATAAGAACATTTCTCCAAAGTTGGGAGACAATACCTGTGATACCTCCAACAGCAACAGTGATCACTTCCTGAAAGTTGTTCTTAATAGTCTCACTTTTCAGACTCTAGTTGGATGTGAAAATGTCATTGCCAGCCTAAGCAGCATAGAAATAATGAAAACTTAACCTAAAACAATGAATTTGTTTTGAATTCTGCAAAGGGCTGCAGAGACCTTACATGAAAATTTTACAAATTAGAGGAAGAAAAACCTTTATTGTTCTTCTTTTCCATCTTTCTTTGGACATCAGACCCAAGTGTTTGTGGGTCTAGCAGAAACTCATTATTTTGCTTTGACCCAAGTCTGTGGTTCCTTTAGATAACACCATTAACCTAATTAGCTCCTGCATTAGGGAGAAGGCACGTCTCCTGAGACTTCGTATGAGGACAAACAAATGTCTCAGAAGGACCACCACAAGGTTCTGTATACTAACCAAAAGAAAACAGAGAGGACAGGAGGGAACCTGAAATCCATGAAAGCTTTCTTCAGGAGTGAAACTGACGTTAAATAGCTCTGTCTGTTCATGATCCACAGTCCAAAATGCTCTGGCAATAGCAGCAGGTCATATTGCATCTCAACATGACACACCTAAAACAAACAAAACCAACATGAACATTCAAACGCTCATTACATAAAATCCCCAGGTAGGAATCACAACTCAAGTTTCCCTAATCCTGATACCAAGATAGTATCTATCCCATTATGCTCCATTACTTTGCCTAACAAATTAGACCATACAGACAGGCATCCTTTTCTGGATCCGGCTGGGTCAGGGTTGAGGTTACTGCTCACAGCTGCCAAAACTGACCTCACTGATATCACCACCTTGGTTCAGCTAATGTTGTGGATGATACCTACAAAAACCTCTCTCAACCTGACTGAGGAATTTACTGACTTCCTTAGTGCATGGACCCTCTAAAAGACCTCGTGCTCAGCAGAGAGCCCAACGCTCTCACTGTGCACTGCATGTGCTACAAACATCAGCCAAAGTAGGCTGCTTGGGGAGACAGATGGAGGAATTCCACCATCTGCTCCTGATCACATTCAGATAAATCCTGGATAGTGGACTGCTCTGATTTGGGGTTTTCTAGATGTTTACAGTGAATTTCAAGCAGATCAGAAGTGTCAGTACTAAAAACATAATATCAACAGAATTGAGGCAGCTCTAGAGCCAGGCCACAACCAAGCTGGATCAAAAGGGTGTTTTTTTGCTTTTAGTTTTATTTCATTTTTAACTTAAAATCAACTTTAGGCAAAATCAACTTTAGGCACCCACATCTGTTATAAAATCTATTTCCAAGTCACACACATTATCTTTTTTGTTTGGGTAAGGTGAGGGGAATGCTTCCTTATTCAATATTCTTAAGCTGTTTGCATAAAATACATGCTAAATAATTCAGGAGTCTGACTGGTAAAAGGCAAAGTCTTTACAAATAAGAACGACTTATTTAAACAGAATTCATGGAAAACACTCCAGAGTCCCCTAATTCTTCCATTGTTGAGTCTCAAGTACCCTTTTTTTTTTTTTTTTTTTTTTTTTTGTATTATTATTATTCAAGCGAGAAAGGGATTTCTAGAATGCATCCCTTGGACACATAGGACACATATACCTCAGTATATCATTAAGCATTCAAACTCCTATTTTTTTTTTCTCTTCTATTTACAAAACATTTGCCTTGCCTGTAATTGCCAATTTTTGTACAATTGCTGGCCCTACCTGCAATCCGTCATTTTACTTTTTGTGCTCATAACACTGCATTCCCAGTCACAGTCAAATTAAGGACTGATCTGTTGTCCACTGAAGCCAGTAGACAGGGATTCTCCAATTTCAGCAGAGTAGAGAACCAAGCAGATAGAAAAGAATTGTAAAAGAGTTGTGCAGCCATTTGCTGACTAAATCCTAGCAATTTAAAATACATGAAGTTTACTTTGGGGTTAATTTTATACTGAATAAGAGAACATTATACTCTTCACGCAGTCAAAGAAAGGCAGCATATCCAGATCAAGCAAATCACACAGAAGTTCTGATTTGTGAAATACAAACTAGTGTGGCCAATGACTTTTCAGAGAAAAGACAAAAATGCCAGCCTTTTATGCTCTTTTGACTTTTTAAAATGACTTGTTGTTGTTTTTTACTGGGATAACTACTGAGTTCACCAAGTCAGAGAACCACATGAAGTTGCTGATCTAACCCTAACTCCTATAGCCCACGGTCACAAATACATTGTTTCAGCAACTGAAAGCAGTTTGTGTGTGATTCCTGGTGAGAAATTCATCACAGCACCCCAGGCCTCCTGCTCTTGCATGTCTGTCTGTAACCTGGATCTCACAAAGTGTAATAATCACATTTCAAAAATAAAACTTCTAGAGATAATTAGATTTTACACTGCCAGACAGCACTTCATTGTTAATACTTATGATGCATTACGTATTTGTCTGAGAACATTAGTGCTTAGATAATTAACTCTTCTTCTGGGTGTCCAGATTATGCTGTTCAGTGAAAACACACTGCACCCACAGAGATGTACCTTGTATAGAAGCATGTCTAATTCCTAAACCTCTTATGTGGTCACTAAATTAAAATCTAGGTTATAGCAGTTAAATGAATTCCCTTTTTCCCTCTTTTTTCCCTCCTTTCTTTTTTGGCATTTTCTAGCAAAACAGTTCACATACAATCACTCAATGGCTGGAAACTAGGCTTGGCAGAAGGAGCTGAGGCTCAGCATGGCTCCAGTCAAGACAAACGGCTGAATTATTGTGACGTTAGTAAACAGGTAATTAGTTTTGCATGTCATTGTTCACCACCTCAAGCTCATTACTGAAGTCTTACAACACTCTCTTTAAAAATTCAGACCTGTTTGACCGGCTACCAGCCATGGTGCATTTCAAGCACCCATGGATAAAGTGCAATCTTGTCAAACTGAAGACACCTGCTCCCAGCAGGAACACTACTTATGAACTGCCAAGTTTTTTGTTACAGTACCTTGAGAGGCAGTGATCTTTCCATCTGCAATATCTAGCACCAATTTGGCTGCAGTCTTCTTATTGCCACATGAAGTGCATACTGGTATAATAGCAGGAGGTACACAAATGCAAAATGGGAGAAGACCACTGAAGATAACTTCCACTGTTTGCTCAACAAGCTTTTGAAATTCGTTTTCTTTGGAAATGCTCCTGGCAACAACTTTCATTTCTTTTTTCTCCAACACCAGGTCTGTCGGAGAGAAATTCACTCCCTTGTACAGGGGTGTATATAACTTATTTCAGATGTGACAATATAAACTAAAGATATCTCCCCTTTCTGCTACTCTTCTGCTCAAATTTTGTCAACTGTTGTTGACCTAGGGGTGAATAATTCACTTCATGGATTAATCAAGTTCTGTCCTTGTCTCTCCCGCAAAGCCCCTGCTGCAGCACAGCTGAATGCACAGCAGGGCACCCTGCTTGGCTCCACTCTGCCCACTGCTGTTTCAAGCTGCCCCTACTCCCATCTTACAAGGTCTGCAGAGGAAATGCATACCAAATTACTTCCTTTTGCTTGATCTTATTTCTTCAGCGATGCATGGATAGCAGACCTCAATGTATCTCTAGATTAAAGGCTGTCTTTAATCCTCTTTGTTCCAAGAAAAGCACAAACACTGGGATAATTCTTCCCTTCTTCTCTTTATTTTATGAGGGTGCAAATGGTAATTTAAGCTAATTACTTTTTAGTACTGTGGTCATTAAAAATCCAGTTAAAAGGTGGTCTAGGGCTTCAGTGAAGGTATCATAGAATCTAGGTTTATTTTCAGTGTCTTCCACAAGCACCATGAAAAGCCTGATCAGGAGCTCACTGCTCCTCAGACTTCCCCAGGCAGCTTAATTCAACAACACATTCCTTGCTCTCTTTGCTGCCCTTAAGAGACCTTAATGAGCAAAGTCCATTCGGTGTCTCTTAATCATATATATATGCAAATGTTGCATTTAGAGTTTGGAGCTCGCTGTGAGCCTGTTTTTCTTGAGCTGTTATTTTAAAATGTGCTTTAAATCAATTTTGCAGTAAACATGGGGTATGTTTCAGTAACAACCATTTTTCTCCTGATTAGTAAATTACTGTTGTTTCCAATGTTTCATTCTAACTACTACTTGCTCAGAGTCACAGGAAAACAGAGCACTTAGTCAAGACAAACTTCTCTTTATTTCCATCTCAGCAAAGCAAGCTCTAGATTACTTTTAGAAAAACAGTTTTCAGCTGACAAAGTGAAAAATGTTGCATAACGGCAAACTTATAACATGGTAAGAAAGTTTTAATATAAGGATTACCACTTTCTGTTGTAACTAGTTTAAAACTCCTTTAAGAGTTTCTGCTAAGAACAGACTTATATTTGCAGTATTTATGTAATTACTATTGGCTGGCTGTGTAATAATTTATGAAGGTTGTGACAGCACAGAGCTTTAATACATATTAAGTGATATTGAGGGAGGAAAATACAACACACTGACATTTTTCTACACAAAATACCAATCCAGGATCATCTAGAATTGAAAAAAAAAAAATCAGTTTGAAAATATGAATTGTGTTTCCCAACCAATTGGAAAATCTGTCTCAAGAACTTATTCTTCTGCGTAGGTATGTATCACTTCTATCTCATTATACGATGTTATCTGTATGTCAGACCCCATTTATACAGACTTAGGAAGACACAAGCAAGTCATTTATATATTCTCATCCAGAGATAATAAATATCTTTAACACTATATCATTTTGCATTCGGCGTTGGTCACATATCTTAAAACTTTTCAGTTCTATTTTTATGCATTTCTATTTGTAAAGCTAGGCAACCATAATGCAAGTCTTAGAGGAAGATGAAGGTTTTAACTTCATAGTTCATGGCAGAACTGTCCAAAAATAATGTCAAAAAGTCAATACAGAATGGCTGTGATTGTACCAGGGTATTGCAGCGCAAAATGAAGTTAGGACTGCCCTGCTGGTTAGCTAGATAATGCTTCCTTTCAGTGGCACATAGCTCTCATCTACAAGACTGATAGATACCAGGAAAACATTTCTCACATAGGATTTCTATACTTCTAATTGGAAGATAATTTAAGTTTTTCTTTGGTTTGAGGTTGGTCAAGAGTTTTGGTGTCCAGGAGATCAGCAAGCAGATTATCAGTGAACTGATGAAAAGTATGACAAAAATGCAGCTGTTAACAAAGGTTTCATGTTTGTATACCTGTGAACGCATGTGAAATTGTACACGCCAGCACATAAAATCTCCATCTCTGCCTTTTGCATTTGCAAAGTCCCCATTTTAATTAACATCAACTATAATTGTATGGTAAGCTAGACATAATAGCAGTAATTAAGACTTTGGCCTCTTAGAACACATCAGACACACACACAAAAAATCCAATTTGGAGAAATATATGGAGCATTCAATGGTCAGTATTAAGATTCTACCTGGGATATCTAAACAAACAAGCAAATCAACCCTATTTAACAATAAAAGTGTTTTTCTTGAGATCTCAAGAGGATTTCCAATTATTCACAAATGGCTAACCATGTTCTCCTTTCACAGAATTATAAACGAGTCACCAGAAAATAGCAA